CCCCGGCGAGACGGTCGAGGCGCTGCTGCGGTGCTGGCAGCGGGCGCGGCACGACACGCGTGGTGCCGAGGCGGTGGTGGAGGTGCTGGCGATCGTGACACCGAGCGCGCAGATCCTGGTGACGTTCCTGTGCGATGTGCTGGGCACGCGCATGGTTCGCGGCGATGCTGATCGATCGCGGCGCACGGCCAGCTCAAACTCGGCGGGGGCGGTGAACGATGCGACGCTGCTGCTGTTCTTCGAGCAGGTGCTGGAGCGCATGGATCCGGCCGAGGCGACGCAGGTGTGGCCGGTGGTGATTGTGCTCGTCAAGGAGTTTGTGGCCAGTGCACTGGCGCGCAAGGTGCACGTGTACCCGATGCTGCGCATCCTCACCGCGCTGGGCGAGAAGCTCTGTCTGACCGCCGGGATGGAGGAAAGACGCACGCGGCGCGAGCTGCAGGACAACTACGCCAAGCTGGTGGACGCATGCATTCTGCTGTCGGGGCGGTCGCTGGATGCGTCGACGTGGATGCGGCGATCGGGACGCGAGGAGGATGTGGGCGTGGAGCGCGAGGCGGACGAGCTGGCGCGTGCGCTTGCGCCCGAGGTGTCCGGCGTTACAGAGGCGATCAACGTGTTCTTGGCGACGCGCGCGCTGGCGGCGCTCCGCAAGATGCAGCTCGACACCGACCGCGTGCAGACGCTCGTTGCCAACGCGGTGTACTACATTGCAGCGCCTGCTGCGCGCACGCGGAGCGAGAAGCTGCAAGTCGAACCACACGTCGTGGCGCTGCTGTCGGAGCTGGTGCGAATGCCCGGGACGGTCAAGGCGTGGCGCAGCACGGTCGGGGATCTATTCGGCGACGCACGCTTCTTTAGCATGGGCGTTTCGAGTGCGACACGGTGGAAGCCGATCGTGGTTGCCTTGCTGACGCAGGACAAGGAGCGACTGGCCGACGTGCTGGCGCGCGTCTCGACGGCATCGACGGCAGCCAACATCTTTGCGAATCGCGAGCTGGAGATGGTGTCGCGCGCGCTGAGCCTGCGTCGACTTTCGTTTGCGCTGTTTGCGGGCGAGCGCGATGCGTTTGTTGTGCAGCTGGCGCAGATCCAGGAAAAGGTGGTGGAGCTGCTGCGCACGGCGCCGAGCGAGGTGCTGCAGGCCGAGGTGTACCTGTGCCTGCGCGTGGTGCTGGTGCGATTCAGCGCGCGCCATCTGACGAGCTTTTGGCCCGTGCTCATGACGGAGCTCATGCGGCTGTACGACGGCGTGGCGAGCGAGCCGGAGCGGTTCGAGCAGAGTGCGGATGCGCGCCAGCTGGTGCTGTCGACACTCAAGCTGCTCGACATGCTGGTGCTGCTGCAGCCCGACGACTTTCAGATCAACGAGTGGATGTTCATCACCGACACCATCGACGCCGTGTATCCGTCGGACGACTTTCATGCAGACACGCTGCTGGATGCGCTTGCCGCGACGTTTTCGCGCGACACCGCGGCCAGCAGTGGCAAGGCGGCAACGGGCTCTCAACATCACCAGGGTGGAGCAGGAGCAGGTGCGGCTGCCAACGGGCAGCGACGGCTCCAGCTGGGCGAGATGCGCACGATCTCGTCGCTGGGCGAGGTGGTTCCGTTCCTGCACTCGGTGTCGCAAAACGCCTTCGAGGCGCACTACTCGGACGCCGGCGTGGACGTGGAGCATGTCGAGGCGTGTCTGCTGCGCGACATGTTTGATGGTGATGACGAGTGCCGATCGGGCGCCGATTTGTAGTTGCAATGCAAGATTCTTCCGAGCGGAAGAGGGATGGCCGAGTGGAGTGGGAGCCGGGAGCGAAAAAAGAGGCGCGCGCGGGTAGAGCGGGTAAGTGGTGCGAATCTTCCCAGGCCAATGCAAGAGCTGCAAGAGCTGCAACTCGCGATGGCACGACTCGAGTGCATGTGCAGCGGCACCTGACAGCTCGCCTATGCCTCACCCAGGGCCACAGAGTGAGTCTCTTGCGGAGGGAGAGCAGGGGTGGCGAAGAAAAGAAGGATTCCATTGATTCGCGTAAAAATTGGACGCCATGCATTTGCCAGTTGACGGGCGGAATAACAGCTGTCGTTGGTGCATTGATGGCGGGCTTGGCGCAAGGAAATGGGCGTTGACTGGATGTGCAGCTGAGACAGGTGTGCCTTTGCGGCTGCATCTTGCATGTGCGCTGGCCAAAGTGCACTACTCACTGTATCTAGTTGGGCGTCACTGATAAAAAAAATCCGAGGCGCGGGATCGGATGGTAGAGTCTGGATCCTGTAGATTGGCGGGCGGTGTGGTGACAGCCAGGCGCAAACAAAAGCAAGATCTGGCCGACGACGATCAAGGAGCTGCAAAGAGTGGATCGAAATTGGAGACGCGGGGATGCAGCTCGGCGATGAAGAGGCAAAGCACCCGTTGCGTTGCGTTTGCAGCGGAAGAATTGGCGGGCAAAGAGCGGGCCCGAGGTGCAGTGGCAGCCAACGTGTGCTCGGCTGCGCCCATCTTTGCAGATGCGACAGCGCGCCCTTGCAGTTCAGTGCAGCGCAGTGAAGCTGCTTTGCTCGGGATCACCGCCGCTAAAACTTGACTCACCCACTTTGCCTACGAACACAGCCTGAATGGAACAGCCTGAATGAAGAGGCGAGAGGCGGCTCTCCCGAACAGGCACTCCCGCGGATGACAGTGAGGCGTGAGAGCAAGCGCGGAAGTGGACCGAAGAGAACAGGCTCGAGCGATGCGCGCGCGTGTTGGTCTCACTCGAGCGCAAAAGCTCTGCTTTATCCTCTGCATTTATCCCTGCTCGGCCCGCAGAGTGCCAATTTGGACCCTGACCCGCGCATCTCGCCCCGCTGGCCCGCACCTACGATCGTCGTCGGATTTTCCCGCGTATTTCTCCTGGCTGTCGACGCTCCTTTCTCAGCTCTTTCTCAGCGCGCGGTGGGACCGGTGGGGCGAGGTGGGGCGAGGTGGGGCCAACTGAGCTACGGGAAGCGATCCGCCGTGCAGCGGTCCTGCGTCGGAGCTGAGCCCTCTGGCCTGGCTCTGATGACAGCCAGGCTAGCTGCAGCCCCTTGCCGCCTCGCCTGTCAGAAGGCCGTCTCGCGTGTATGGAAGGTGGCAAAGCCGCGATCTCGGCTCGCATTCTCGCTCTCGGCCCACTGCCAAAGCTTATCCTTTTCCCGTCATCCGTAGACCCTGCCTTGGCCCGGTCTGGCCTGATTCTGATTTGGTCGGGCCTGGCTTGGACTGGCCCGCTTCGGCCCTTCCATATAACCAACCCACCCCTCGGCCAGGCGCTCGTCGTCGTCGTCATCGTCCCCACCGCATGTCTCCCTCATACTCAGCCATGACTGCCTTCTCCACCCCCTTTGGCCGTCTGCCATCCATGCGCAGGCGAGAGTCCAAAAACAAACCCGTCAAGCCCATCGACGTCGACGCTGCCCAGCAGTACGTCGACGCTGGCCCTTCCTCCGCCGCCTCCACCAGCCTCCTCACCCCCAGGCCACACCACTACCGATCCACCTCGCCATCGCCAGCCACACCCTCGGCCTCCACTTTCGGCGCTGCGGCACCCTCGAGCGCACGCATCGTCTCGTCGCCCACCTTTGTCTCTTCATCCGCACTCGCAACCTCGGCCTCCTTCTACGGCGCAGAACTCACGCCTCCCCTCAGCCCCGTCCATCCCAACAGCGCAGCCGCGGCCCAGGCAACAAAGTCGCCCCTCCGTCGCGCCCTCTCCCGCACATTCTTCTTTGGCAATGCCAACAACCACTCCAATGGCGCCAGCGCCAATGCCAGCCCCAACAATGCCACCAGCGCCAGCCAGCCTCCCCCTTCGTCCATCTCGGCGCCCATCCCCACGCGCCCAAAGCGTCCGGCTCGCCCAGCTCGCCCAGCTCGTCCAGCCACGTCGCCAGCCACGGGTCTCTCGCCCAACCCGGACTCGTTTGGCTTCGTCGCCCCTTCCATGACCCGCTCCTACACAAGCGCACCGCTCATTGCCATTCACGACGAAGAGCCGGCGATCAACACCACACGCAGGCGCAGCTCCACGCTCATGCCTTGCTTGGCCGACGCCCGCTTCTCGCGCACCCCTTCGCCCATCCCACAAACCACAACCCCCACATCGCCACGCACATCGCTCCGCTCCATCCGCCAGATGCACGCACGCAAGTCGATCCAGTCCATCTTTCGCCCCTGGTCGCCACTACCGGCCGACACCCTCGCAGACGCGGACGCCATCACGCCCAAGCCAGCAGCCCCCATCCCCTTGCCCCGCACCTCGTCCTTCCGTCGCCTCAGCCGCCGCGCATCCGAAGAGTCGTTCTGCTGCCGCGGCAACGCGTTCGACGGCCCGCCCGCCGCGGACCCGCGTCCTAGCGTTCCAGACGTACATGCGCTCGGATTCTACTCGTCCTCTTGCCCTTCGGCAACCACCGACGTGCACGGCCCAGGATCTCACCGCATGAACCGCTTCACACTCGCTTCGTATCACCAAGCGACCGCCCCGCAAGCACGCGACGACGACGTCATTGACCAACAGCTCACGGGTCTCGGTCTGGTGGACACGCTCCCCGCCACGCCCAAGGTGCTCCCCAAACGTCTCTCGGCCACCTCCCAGTTCTCGTCCACCGACAGCTCCGTCTCGGCGCTCGTCCCTTCTTCATCGGCAAGCTCCCTCGCGTCCTCGAGCGCCTCGCTCCACTCGGCCGACGAGCGCGCCTCCTGGCCACACGTCCCCGCCATCCACACCTGGTTCTCTGCCTGCCCGCCTACCCCACCTTCCTCGATCCGACTCCAGCTCGAGTTCACTTCGCTCCCGCCCGCGTCGCCTGCCCTCCTTCCTGTCGCCGCCTCTGCCTCAACCACCACCCCC